GTGCATAGTTTAAATATTTATTGGATCAGGCCGTATGACCTCGGCATGATTTGCCATGCTTGTAATGCTTGCTTGAGATTTACAAATTGATATTGTCTTCCTGGCCTGAGATAAATTGATAAATAATGGACTATAAATTTGGAGACTCCTAAATATAAAAAGGGATGTTTACTCGTTTCTTGACTTACTTGAGTTTACTGCTATTTTAATGAATCCATGATTATTCGCATTATTAATATATTATTACTGGACCACTAGTAAGTGTCGAAGTCGGCCTCTCTTCTCTACTTCTTTGAGGTTAGACGGGATACTTACTGGGCACACGTTGTTTTCGTACTCATACTACACTTGCTATGCATTTTGTTGCACAGGTTTATGTGTGGCTAGTGCAGCATGGTTAATGCGGGGACTTAGGTGAGCTGCATTTTGTGAGACGATCCGCAGCCATCAGAGTCTCCCTCAGAGTATTGTACTGTATTTTTCATTCCTATCCAATTGTTTTTCGAACAGTTACTATATTTTATTGCATTCCCTAGTAAATGCTCATGCACTTGTGATACCGGATTCTGGGATAATTACGGGATATTTTCTATTGACTTCTTAATACTTATATTTAACTTGAAATGATTATCTTTACTAGTAAAAATTGAAGGAAAATCATAGTTTTCAAAATTTTTAAAATGAGAATTTAATTAAGTATTTATGGTTGACTAGCCTGACAGCGATGTCCGGCGCCATCACGACCCTTAGTGGATTTTGGGTCGTGACAAAATAAGAGTTCAAGTAGTAGTAAAAGAGTCAAGTCTTATCCAAAGGGTCATTCATTGTCTCAGCATTTGATTGTTTTACCATAAATATGAGTTATTATTTTGCTTCCTGACTATTTTTAGGATCCAGTGACACCGGCAAGAATGATATAAAAAAAATAGAAGAAATGATTAATTTTTTATGTAGTTTATATCCAATGATTATCTATTTTTACAGAGAAAGTGAAATTTTAAGATTATATACAATCCAATTAACTTAAATATTTGACATGATTAGTGTCCGCGTATCCGCGCAAGTACTTATACTAGTATTATAATAAGGAGAGGACAAAGCTCTCTCCTTAAGCCAAGTGGTAGCCTAAAAAAACCACATGGCATAATTAGTTTTTTTTTGTTAAAGTAAATTTATTCAACCAAAATTGTATATTTATAGCCGCTAGTTCCATTTGGACTCAAGAACTAGTCATCTCTATCTCTTTCTATCTAAGAGTGTTAACTACGCATTTACATTCATAAGCTATCTACTCTTAACTAGGAAAACTATTTAAACTATCTAGTATCTTATTCCATTTGCTATAACTCTGTCCTCTAGCATTCATTTCACTCGATACATGGTATATTGTTGCAGCAAACAGCCATGCTAGTACTTGGCCTTTAGCTCTGCTTCCTCTACACCTCTTTGCCATCCAGCATACCTCCTCACTCCATGTTTTAGGAGTTCTGTTTTCATTCATCCATTTCAATAGAGAATACCAGATATCTCTTGCATATTTACATTCCAAGAATAGGTGAGCTAGTGATTCTGTAGCTCCTGTGGAACATAAAACACGCTCTTTTGGAACATTTATTCCCCATCTCTCTAGTCTGTCCACAGTTTTAAGACTTTGTCTTATGGCTAGCCGTAGAATAAATTGATGTCTAGGAATTTGCCTTGCCTCCATAGTCAGACTTTTCCATTGAACTTTTTGATATTGTGGTTGAAAGGATAAATAAGTTGCCTTGATACTAAACTTATCACCCTTGCTGCACTTGCCCAGTTCCACCTTGGGTTCCTGTTGCCAAACCAATTTCTTGCATCAAATATTTTCCTTACAAATGAGCAAGCTTGTGTATGTATTTTCATGGACTCTATCTCCTTGTTCTTTATGTAATAACCATGTATCTATTGCACCCAAGCGATTCTTTCCTTTAGATACTGCCCAAGGAGTTTGCATATGGCTGCCCTATTCCACAAGGTGTAGTCTATCAACTTTAGGCCTCCATCGGATCTTGGCATACACAATGATTCCCAGGATACTAGAGCTTTCCTTGATGCTTCACAACTTCCAATCCATAAAAAGGTTCTGCATATACTTGTGATGAGTTGAACAACCTTCTTGGGTAAGACAAAAATCTGAGCCCAGTATGTTTGCTTCTCAAAGAGAACACTTTTGATCAGCTGCACCCTTCCACTATAGGATAGAAATTTAGTAGTCCAGCATCTGATTCTTGATATCATCTTCTCCACAATTGGCATACATTGTTATACAGTAATCTTCTTTGAAGAAAGTGGAACCCCCAGGTATTTGAATAGCAGTTCTCCTGGTGCAAATTGCATCTCGTTCAAAATCTGCTACTTCAGTTCCTGAGTAATTCCAGCAATGTATAGGGAACTCTTGTCCAAATTTTCTTTCAGCCTAGACACATCAGAGAAATGATTAAAAGCTTAGATTATTAGTTGGATTGAAATTCTATCAGCCCTGCAGCATATGAGTAGATCATCAGCAAAGCATATATGTACCAGCTTCATCCTGTTGCATCTAGGGTGGTAATTGAAGTCAGGATTATGTTGTAACTATTTGAGGGATCTGTTTAGGTACTCCATAATCAACACAAACAAGTACGGGGACATGGGGTCACCCTGTCTTAATCCCTTCCTTGCCACAAACTTTGGAGTTATCCCTCCATTTATTAATATAGCACAACTTACAGTAGTCACACATTCCATAATCCACCCAACAAGTTTTCCAGGGAACCCAAACTCTAGTAAAACAGTTCTAAGGAAGTCCCATTCAACTGAGTCATAGGTTTTTCCACTTTTACCATACACCTAGGGGAGACTCCCTTCTGCGTATACCCTTTCACTAGCTCATGTGCAATGATTACATTATCTAAGATACTCATTCCTGCTATAAATGATGACTGTGAATGTCCAACAATTGTGTCTGCTACTAGTTTAAGTCTATCTGTCAGGATTCTTGCTATCAATTTGTATAAAGTTGTACAACAAGCTATGGGTCTGTACTCCTTCACATATGTGGAATTAGCTACCTTTGGTACTAGAGTGAGTATGGTGCAGTTTGCTTCCTTTAATATTTTCCCAATTTCAAAAAACTAGACAACAACCTTACTCACCTCCTCTCCTATGGCATACCAATATTCTTTGAAGAATTCTGCATTGAACCCATCCATCCCTGGGGCCTTGTCATTTGGTAGCTCTCTTAATGCCTGTAGGACATCCTCTTTTGTGACTGGCTAAATTAGTAGCAATTGTTGGTCTCTCTTTAACCAAGACCATCTTTAGCAATGTGAGTATCTACCAAGGTAGTTCATGTGCTCTGTTTCCCATCAAGCCTTGATAGAACCTTATGAATTCCTGATGCACCTGCTTTGGGTCAGTTAACTGCATTCCATGTTCATTATAAATAGTAACTATGTTATTCCTAACCTGTCTTGCTTTGAGTTGGGCATGAAAAAACTTGGAATTTGAATCTCCCTGTTTGATCCATACAGCTCCAGATTTTTGTCAAAGAACTCTTTCCTGGATAGTAGCCCATTTCTCCATCTCCAATAGTATCTTTTTCTCTTCTGTGATCAATTGGGTACTGTACAAGTCAGTTGCCAAAGCATCTTGTGTTTCTTTCAGTTTTGCCTGCAGATCCTCCAACTTTTGTTCTAGCTTGTTCATTTCTTAATTCATATGTTTAACAGCTTGTTCCACTTATTTCAATTTCCTGCATACTCCATACAGAGCAAAGCCATCAACTTGGGTCTTCCATATATCCTCAACTATTTCCTTGACTGATTGTTGCTTCAGGAAGACATTGAGTAGTCTAAATGGTTTTGGTAGCTTGTGTCTCACAGTGATAGTAGTTAATAGTATAGGGGAGTGGTCTAAGCAACTAGGATTTAAGTAATATGCTTCTATACTACTATACAAGCTGAACCATTGAGCATTCCAAATGCCCAATCAATTAAACTGTAAATTTTGTCTCCAGGATTCCTCTTGTTACACCAGGAATACTGCCATCCCTTCCTTTTGAGTTGCCCTAGTCCCACTTCATCTATACAGTCCTGAAAGTCATGTGTTTCATTCTGTTGGACTGGTGCTCCATTGATCCTATCTACAATAGATAGAATTGTATTGAAGTCCCCAAGGATGGTCCAAGGGTCTAGCATCATATGGTTAATTGTTTTTAGCTCCCTCCAAATTTCCTTCCTCCCTTCCATAGTGTTATAACCATACATAAATGTGACATAGCATTCAAATAGAGATCATTTGTCCTTCACTTTGCAATGGATAGTTTGAGGCCCTGAACTTTGTATATCCACCTCCACCAGCTGTGGTTTCAAGCATACCCAAATTCTACCATTTTGATAGCTTATATAATCACTATAAATTTGCCAATCTGCTCCTATTTTCTTTTTTATTTTCTCTGCTCTTCTAGCCTTTATCTTTGTTTCTAGGCAGCCCAATAGAGCTACTTTATTAGTAAGCAGAAAGGATTTAAACTTCTTCTGCTTATAGGGCTTGTTCAGCCATCTAATATTCCATGATCCAAAGATCATGGGGGGCTGTTTAGTCAGATTTGTTCCCCTTACCACATTGCTAGTGGTAACCTCTGTATTAATTCTCAAAGCACTGAACTGATTCCTTCTGAGCATCAATTCCAATTCATCAATCTTTTGTTTTTTTACTGTTGTAGCTGGCATTATTTTCTTTCCCCTGTCTACTTGTTTTTGCTGATGTTGTCCATCCTCTTTGGTTAGTTTCTTAGTCTGCTCATTGTGTGCAGACTGTTCTGCTTGTTGCTCCTTGTTCTGATCTTCATTCATAGTGACAGTCTTTGCTATCCACTCCTTCTTCTTTGGTTTTTTTCTAATGTTCTATCTAAACTCTTTGTATTTTGCTGGATTTGTGAAATCTCCTGTGTTATACCCCACTTTCAAACAGTCTTGATAGAATAGTGGCTTTCACTCATACTCAATACTCTGTGAGTAGTGTGTTCCATCTGGTAACTCAAGGGAGATCGAATCTGGTAGAGGCTGAGATATATCCATTTCTATCAATATTCTTGCATATGAAATCCTTTGTTCTTGGGCTGTTAATTTGTCTGTGCAGATAGAATTCCCCATATAGCTAGCTATTCTTCCCAAATTAGGAGGAGCCCAAAATTGGATTGGTAAATTTGGGAACATCACCCAAATTGGGACAAGTTGGGTAGGTTCCTTATTCATTTGGAACTCTGGATCCCACTGCTTTATGATAAATGGTCTATAGTTGAATATATAAGGTCCTTGCTTAAGAATTGCTTCCTTGCCCTCCTCATTATCAAATTTAAAAATGAAGTACCCATTGTTATGAAGGAAAACATGTGTTGTGCTTACAGAATTCCATACTCCATAAACGAATTTGAGCATTTCTTTGAAGGTAGGGTTTCCACCAATTACATACCCAATTAAGGCTCGACTCCATTTCTGGTTGTATTCAGCTATTTCCTGGGGGTTTAGCTTTACAACTTTGATTCCATCCTTCATGACTGGTGGGTAGTAATCTAGCTTAAGCCCCAAGTTTTGCACTCTATTACCTTTGACGACTTCAACCATCATAGGCTTAGTTCCACTAGATGTTGCAGAGAATGTCAGTTTCCTTGTTGCGTGCATAGCTCCTGCATCAATTTCCGGCGGGGTCTCTGTAGTTTTCGGTGGAGGACCTGCTTGCATCACTGTGGGAGCCCTCCCCATTCCTGGAAGCCAGTGACCAAATTGAATCGGTGCTAAGACATGGGGAACCCCCGACTACGGAAGATACTACTTATTTAAAATGAATATTTAAAATAAACAATTCATAAAAAAAATTTTGTGGGATTACGTGTATTTTCCGTAGAATTGACCTTGTAATTACCAATTATTCTCTAGTTCCAGATAAAACTTAAATTTTAATTTAAAGTTATTACCAAAAGTGCTTTCAAGAAGATAACAAAATTGGTTTATAAAAAATAAGGAAAAGGGCCAAAACTACCTTCAAACTATTTGATTTGGTACAAATATTCCCTCCTTCCACCTATTGAGCCAAAATTTCCCTCACTGTTATTTTTCTGGCTCACTTATGCCCTTATGAATAACGGTCAATGCCAAATATAAAAAAAAGTTTATTTAAGTTACATATGAAAAATATTTATTGGTTCAATTTTAAACTATGATCCCAATTAAATATACCCACTCTTAACCATTTTTTACCCAACCCCAAAATCAGACACACCTAAAAATATGGCCAAACTCTTGATTGTTTAAAAAATTAACTTCTCCATCTTTTCAACTCAACCATCACCATAACTGACATCACCCCCTTTCCTCCACAACCACAATGCCACTACAACTATGATTCTCATGTTTTCTCCATTCCTCCATTTTCGAAGAGTAACAACGAGAATGTTATACTAATCAAAAGGGCCCGATTAGAAAATCTTTAACTTTTTTCGGTTGAATGTCATTTTTTTTTGTTGTAAAATTAGGATTTTGCTCAAAGGGGAGTACCTAGATCATAATTTTTTTTATTTTCTACAATAGATTATTATTGGGTCTAACAACTTATTAAGAGTTCACAAATTTTTGCAAATATTTTGAAGAAAAAACTAGACTACTCCGGAATTTAAAGCCAATGAATTCATAATGGGTTCTTTGATTATCTCATGCGATGAGAAAGAAAAAAAAGATTCACCATTGTAAGTGACATTTGAATGTGAAAATTAGGTTGAACATTTTCGAAAAATGACAACTTCAATAGTAAATGTAAAATGATGATAGATGACAAAAATATGAAAAAGGACCAAAACCCCCCTAAACTAAAAATGTGGAGGGAGCGTGATTGCTATGAAGGAAAGGGGATGGTGACAGCTATGATGGTGGTAGAGTTGAAACGATAGAGAGGTTAATTTTTTTTACAATCAAGAGTTTGGCTATTTTTTAAGGCGGGTCGAATTTTTGGGTTAGGTAAAAAAATGGGTTAAGGGTGGGTTTATTTAATTATGGGGTCATGGTTTAAAATTAGAACTAATAAAAAGTTGTCACGTGTAATTTAAATAAATTTTTTTTTATTTGGCATTGACCATTAGTCATAGGGGCATAAGTGAGCCAGAAAGATAACGGTTGGGGCATTTTTGGCTCAAAAGATGAACGGAGGGCATATTTGTACCAAATCGAATAGTCTGAGGATAATTTTGACCCTTTTCCGTAAAAAAATATATTCCTGAGCAGTTTTAAATTCTTAAATTTGACAAAAGTGAACATTTTTTTTATCTCCATTAATAACTTAATTATTAACAAACATTGAATGTTAAAGAAAGTTCTAGCCAAACAAAGTCCCGTCAAATTACTGACATTGAAACACTAAATTGTAACACACTAGAAATAAACAAAAAATATATAATTCACCTAAAAAAAATGCACATGGCACTAGAAGAATAAAAAATCATAAAAAATGCACCTCTAAATATGAGTACTCGTTAAGTGTTTAATTTTTTTTCCTGTTATTGTATAATTTTCATTAAATCTAACAATAAGAATTTATTAATATTTGACCGAAATAAAAAAATGCACTTTTGATACTTTTGAACACTTTTGATACATCGACAGCCCCTTAAAGTTATTCTCACTTTTCACTTAGATATTTTATCTCAAGCTTGTTTCATTTGAACACTTTAACGAGGCCTTTACTTTGTCATTTAGACACAAAATTCGTAGGCAGCCAAACACAAAAGGTGCGTGTAATTCACATGCCAAAATGATGAATAAAGCGAGGACACGTGGATTTACCTTTTAAAAATTAGAAATAATTTGGAAATAAAATAAAATATAGTAAAAGAAGAACCCCACCCTACGCATCATCATCTTCCCCAACAGACTAATCCTCAACCATGTTTGCTCGATCTCTGAAATTGTCACCAACTTCCACCTCAAGAAAAATCTTTTTCATCAAAATTCTTTTCCATGTCATTCTCAAAAGCTTGCAAAAGCTCAGATATTTTAATCGTCTCAAATGCCACTCCCCAAAAAAACGTCCGGCAAACTTGACAAACGGACTGTTGAATTTGTCAAGATTGATGTGAAGTAGTGTGAACATTTGAAGCCTCTTTTTGGAAAAAGTTGGTAGATGCATTTTTCATGCATTTACATTGCATGTTCATACTTAATGTGATGTCATGCATGATATTATTAGGGCAATTTCTCTTCTATAAATAGCAAAGATTTTGTTCATTTATAAACATCTCTTACTTGCCTTCTTATCTCCTAAGGCATTTGAATCTTCTTTCTCTCTTGTAGTATTTCACTTGTATTTTTGAAGTAAAATAAAGTTTGAGTTGATTGTATCCGAGGACTAGGCAAAAATCAAATTTTGTCGAACCTCGTTAATTTCCGGTGTTCCTTTTATTATTGTCTCATTTACTATTTATTAGCTACCATTAGATATAGTAGTTGTGATTTAATCACTCTCTATATATTTGGCTTCCGCAAGAATTGGTATCAGATCCAAGGTTCTATCTTAGTATGTTTTATGGTTGCAGCATAGTCTGAACTTCCACATCAGAAAAGAATTACTTTGGTGTTCTCTATTGTCAGCAATTAAATAGTATCTGTAGCGAAAATGGGAGATAATAAAAATGAAGAAGCTACATCAAGTGTCAATAATACGTCATCGTTGGCATCTTCGCTTATGACAAGAATTGTGTCAAATGCGAATTTTACGGTCGAAATGTTTGACAGGTCAGGGCACTTTGGGATGTGGCAAGGTGAGGTTCTAGATGTCCTTTTTCAATAAGAGCTAGATCTTTCCATTGAAGAAAGGAAACCAGTATTGGAGAAGAAGATTGGAAAATTATCAATCGTGTTACTTACGATACCATTCGATCCTACCTTGCTAGAGAGCAAAAATATCCATACACAAAGGAAACTTCTGAAAGTAAATTATGAAAAGCACTAGAGGATAATTTTTTGAAGAAAAATAGTCAAAATAAATTGTACATAAAAAAAGACTGTTTCGCTTCACCTATGTTTCTGGTACCACAATGAATGAACATATCACCAGTTTCAATAAGTTGGTTACAGATTTGCAAAATATGAATGCAACTTTTGATGATGGTGACTTGGCCTTGATGTTGTTCGGATCACTTCCTGATGGGTACGAGCACCTTTAAACTACTCTACTCCATGAAAATGACGAAGTTTCTCTCAAAGAAATTTATTCGGCTTTGTACAGCTATGAAGAAAGAAAGGGAGAAAAACTGAAGGGCAAAGAAGGAGAAGCACTGGTTGTGAGGGGTCGTTCTCAAAATCAAACGAGGACAAAGAAGGGAAGATCCAAGTCAAGATCTAGACTCAGCAAAGATGAATGTGCTTTTTGTCGAGAATAGGGGCACTGGAAGAAAGACTGTCCGAAGTTGAAGAATAAGGCCAAACATAACAATGGAAAGGCCATTATGGATTCAAATATAGCTGATTGTGATGATTCAGACTTCTCATTAGTTACAACAGAGTCATCAACATCATCAGACATATGGTTGATGGACTCGACTTGTAGCTATAATATGTGTCTCTGTCACGACCCCAGTTCGCCCTCCGTGAACTATCGTGATGGCACCTAGTCTTTACGATTAGGTAAGCCTAATAGTGTGGAAAATAAACTAAACTTGCGGAATAAATAGTCAAAAGCCAAAAATAACTGAAGGAAACAATATTTAAATGCCGCTCGGCATATACACACAACTCCTGAATAAATCTGATATACTATCCCAAAACCCGGAAACTCACGGATCCACAAGCTGAGAAAAACACTACATAGCTCTAATCTCCGGAATGTCTAATAAGAAAAGAAAGTACAGAAGGGTTAAATACTAAATGCAGGAATAGAAAGAGACTCCTCGGTCTGCAGACGCGGCATATATACCTCGAAGTCCCGTAGAATCGCCTCGCCTCAAGAATGGTAAGCCTGAGTAGAGGTGCCTGGATCTGCACATGAAAAACATGCGCAGAAAGGGCATGAGTACACCACAGCGGTACTCAGTAAGTGCCAAGCCTAACCTTGGTTGAGTAGTGACGAGGAAGGTCAAGGCCCTACTGAGGTTAAAAATAAAGATATAATTCGATAATGTAGAACAGAACAATATAAATACGTGCAACAGCTGTCACACCTCCTTTTTCCGCCCCGCGAAGGTACAAGGAGTTTTTCCAATTAAAGGACAATCGAAACGGGATTTGTTTATTCATTTCAGAGTCGCCACTTGGGAGATTTTAGGGTGTCCCAAGTCACCAATTTAATCCCAAATCGAGGAAAATAATGACTCTATATTACAGTCCGCAAACCAGAAATCCGGATAAGGAATTCTGTTAACCCGGGAGAAGGTATCAGGCATTCCCGAGTTCCGTGGTTCTAGAACGGTCGCTCAACAGTCATATTCGGCTTGTTTATCTGATTTTATACAATTATGAACTTATGTGCAAATTTTAACCATTTACCGCTTTCATTATTATTATTATTATTTTACAGGGAATTGCAACGTTGTGAAAATGTATTTCGAACCGCGTCACAATCAATGTAACCGTGATCGTCGACACACTTTGACTCCGCTGAGATTTGGATTTGGGTCACATAAATGTGCACCCGAGTTTAGGAAAGTAAGATTAATTAAGACGCGTCTTAAAGAAACTAGTGTGTTGTTATTTTGGGTAAGGTCGTGGAGTTCGCTAAG